AGATGCCAATGATGACATATTGTTGACACTTGATGTAGATTCTTCTTGTTTATTGTCTCCCATATTTGACAAAAATATTATTTAATAGCTGACGACACAAATCAAGATTATTCCTTTCTGATGTAGAAGATCAGACTAAGCTGCAACCACAGAGCATACTCAGACAGAACCTTGACTCAGTTACCAAGATAAATCTTTTCTGATGTGGAAGATCAGACTATGCTGCAACCACAGAGCATACTTAGACAGTACCTTGGCTCTGATACCAATTGTTGCGGAAGCCAAATGTATATAGTGTGAATAAGTCACAACTACTATACCAAAAATTATGACANTAATAAATAAGACAATAAAGCAACAATAAAGGGAACACCAGAATTTACGAGGTTCGGCTAATTTTGCCTACTCCTCGGACACAACCAATATTTTATTTCACTCCAAAAATACAAGTGAAATAATACTAAAGAGAGAAGATACAAATGCCTTAAACAGATGAGAAGGCAAATGAGAGGTGTGTTTAAATCCTAAACATTAGACTTTCTTTTATAGGGGGAAAATCCCCCCAAAATTCAAGAGCCCACCGATGTGGGACAAATTTGCCAAACTTCCAACACTTTCATGCTAGACTGTAAATATCTGTAAGAGCATGTTGGCTATTATTAACTTATAATCAGTTATAGTAGTTTGATTGTCCGACACATTAAAAGATTATTGTACTTATCCCGTTTGTCAGATCTAATGGATTCTATTTTGCCCACCATGTATCCGGACAGGCAGTTAGGCTGAGTATGCTGTCAAAGAAACATAAAACCTTCTGCTTGCTTTACTATGTGATTCAGATAAGACACCCAGCACTTCTTGGACTTCAAAGACAGAAGTGTATGAATATGTTGAAAACAGACTTAATTTAGCCTACAGCTGAAGCATTTTGCCGCAGGTATGTCATATTCAGCAAGAGCACAGCAAGAAGGAAATGAGTCTTGTTTCCAGTCACAATGAAGAGCTAAAACGTGTCCGACTTCAGTATGAAAATGAACTGAGAGAAGTAAACTTTCTTCAGCTTTGTTTTTGTGTTTTAGCTCATTATTCTGCATGTATATTGCCTTAGTCGCTGATGTGTGATATTTCTCTCAGAAAACAAGTTCAATGAGGAATGAGCATGAAGCTCAGTTAAGAGCGCTGAGAGTTGAGCTTGAGGATGAATGCAGAAGACTGCAGGAGGAGTTGGATATGCTGAAGTCTAAAGTATGTTTTAAATGAGTTTTTACTCACAGTGATTTTTTGTCTTATTGTATTCGTGTATCTCAGGAGGAGAAACAGAGGGCTCTGTTGCAGTTGCAATGGAAAGTAATGGGAAATAATCCGGAAGAGGAAGAAGTGACTTCAAAGAAGGTTTGACTCTTTATTCTTTAGATAGATGCATAGAAGAAAAAAAGATTGTTTAGAAGAGGAAAAAAAGATTCCTATTCTCTGCTGTTAGAAGGTTCTGTTTGATTGTTTTAAGATTGAACATTGGCCATCTTTCACCCAGTTGCTGTCAGCAATCATTTCATGGTCTAGTGGATCCTTTCTGATTTAGTAGAACTTTCTGAGGATTTAAATTTGATTATCAATGCATATCGTACTGTAACTAATGAACTATCAAATTGTCAGTAATCATTTATCAACCACCACATAGCTGTAGGAAGTTATTGCAGTTGAAATACTAGCATATAAATCTGCTGATTGATCAGTTTTTAAGTTATATACAAATAGATTACGTTCTCTTCCTTAAACTACAACTATGGAAGTATATTTGTGTTATAATGGTTCAACTTGTATCTTCTAATGTGTATCATGCTGTCCACTGAAGTTTTAACTACAAGTTTTATTCATCTACCTGAGATATCATGGATATGACTGGCTCCTACATGAGAACAAATAATAAAGGCTCCAAAACTTGACCTATGATAGAGATTTTCCCAACTTGCTATATATTTGTGATCTGAAACTGAAAGAGAGGTGGAAGGATTAATTTGATTGCTTATTTGAGGGGATTTTGAACACGTTAAATACAGCCAACTTGGTAAATAAATCTTTCTTCAACTATTAGTGCTGAACATTTTGTGAAATCTGCAGAAGCACTCTGGGTCATTGACCAAAAGAAACCAATCTGATAGTTGCAAAAGGGGCCAGCTTGCACCGGTGAGAGCTGAAGCTAAGGATGTGGTAAACATGCAAAGCAAAAACTTATTTTTGGTTACATTTCAATACTTCAGTCTAGCTTGCTCATCTTAGCTTATATCTCAATGGTTTGGTAGGATGCACATTATCTGGAAGGAAGTCAAACACCTGTATCAAATTTGTTAAGGAAAGTGGAGAAGGTGAATACAGGAAGTGTTATTAGTATGCCCAAACATAGTAGGAAGGTAAGCGGCTAACCGCAATTATCTCTAATCCAAACAGTTCGGCTTAATTAGCTTTCTGCAAAATTAGTTTCGAGAATAAGTAGCACTTAGTGCTGTAGAATGAGCTAGCTGATGTCTTATCACAGTGCATGCAACCCAGATTTATTACGGATTATTTTTGCATTAGATAATTGAATTTCAGCATCTTGCTTTCGCTCTGATTTCATCCCCTTTGGTGAACATACCTTCTTAAGATCTGCATGGTTATTTCTGCATTTAGCCTTTTCAGTTGATCATCATGTCCTATCTGACTTATTCTTCTTGATCGCTTCGTAAATTCCAGGTGACCCATCATGAATATGAAGTTGAAACCACAAATGGCAGAACAATCACAAAACGAAGAAAAACTAAAAGCACAGTCATGTTTGATGTACGTAAAATTGAATCCTTAGCAGCATTGCTGGCCATTGTTACCAGATTCAATCTGTCAGTTTCTAGACTTCTGGCTCACCAATGTATATAATTAGCCTAACCTTTATATTTCTGAATTATGATAGGATCCATCAAAGAACAAGAAGAAAAGGACACCAAAAGTGAAGACTCCCAGAGAGGTTATCAGGGTATGACTCATTCATTGACGTGCTTTGTGTTCACCTGCCATTGTTACCAGATTCCAATATATCAGAGTTACTACCCTTTTGTCATGTCAATATGCTGAGATGACTAGCCTTTATATTTAAAGAATCCATAAAAGCACAATCATAAAGCGACACCAAAAGTCAAGACTCGCAGAGAGGTTATCAGGATATGAATCATTATTTGACTTGTTTGTCTTCACTTTCCATTATGGTCCTTTGTGGCTTGCTCTAAGAAACGGGCACGTCTTCTTAGTGCTGCTTCAAGAGCTTAACTAGATAAAAGAGTAATGAGAGACAAACAAATCTCCATTTATAATATGCTCAGCTTGTTCTATTATTCGTATATGTTTTGCAGAGCATTAAAGGAGGAGGTCATCCAAAACCTGCAAACATAGGTGATTTATTCTCGGAAGGATCTCTGAATCCATATGCTGATGATCCCTATGCATTTGGCTAGAGGTACCACTATTCATTCTGATTGCAGAAACCTCAAGATATAAGACTTTAATGCTCTTCTTGTCATACTGTGCTGTTACACTTTCAGTCTGCTCCAATGCATTAAATATTTTGTCTATGTAAAGATACAGCTACCGGCGAGACGGTGTACAGTTTCCGTTCTGATTCAGTTCTATGGTTATATCTTATACATCTGTATTTCCTTTGGCATTTAGCCACATGCCTCACATCCTTATTTTAGTTTCTCACTGGAGTAGCTTATCTGGCAGAAGTCTTAATTATTAATTTTATCTTGTCTCAGGTGAAGAAGTCCTACTCCAGTGCAGAGCTTCCTAGAGAATCTGAAGCGTACTTTGACCTGGAAATGTGTAGGTGCTGATTCTTTGATTGCAGACATAGCAGGCTGCTTTCCATATTGATTCTTTGATTGCAGATGTATAGCAGGCTGCTTTCTATATTGCAAGGAACTAGAATTTTACTTCCCGCAAAAATAAAAGACTGTATATAACTGCAATTAATGTGTGAAAAAATTGTGGGGGAAGTAACGTGATTAGAGCTCGGTTGCAGAGGACGTGCGCCAGTGTAAAGTCACCAGTTGCGATAGAACTACACACATAGTTTTGTTATGTGCTTCCAAAATGCATAAGCTTAGCTTTTGTTGTACTTAAGCTTTGATTGTTGGGTTTTGAGGCCGGGTAGAGATTCCATTAGATTGGTAATGACTGTAAGCACAAAGCCACAACTGCCACCCACCTTCTGCCCAACATATGTACACACAAATACAAATTCCGGGTCTCCTAACACTAGTTTAAAATGAAACATCAGAATCAGATGACTTTCCCTCCCCTATAGCAAGTCATAAGAAAAAAAACTTCCCATATTGCATTATAGGAATTAGGAAAAGAGAAACCTCAACTTCCTCGTCATTTAGAGGTGTAATTTGACAAAGTATATGGCGCATCCCCATGCGCAGTCACAAATGCCTCTGTTGAAGTTGCACTACTATGAGGAAATAAAGATACTTGAGACTTGGAAAAGAAGACACTTGGGAGTTCTCTTGTCCCTTATGATGCTGAAAATATTGAAAGAATGAGAGGACTGATGATGCAGTGAATTTTTCTTGTCTTGTATATTTACCCTGTAGC